CCCAGTAAATAAAGACAAAAAGAAGGAAACAGTAAAATGATTAAAGATTACATTGGTATGTGAAAGCTTCTAGTTAATTGTCCTTTATTAAGTGAAAACTGAAACAGTCACCAGACATAAGAAAATGCCACATAGATTACAAATAGGCAACCCGAAGGAGTAAATATCTAAACAATTGAAAAGCACCTTAAAGCCTTGGATCTCTCTGATGTAATTTGGATTGATTCTCTTTTTACAGAAACACTGCACCTTTTCCTGTCTCCTTTACTGACACAGTCCCTGCCTCTAAGACACTTTCACCCTTGGTTTAAATAAATCTGTGTGCGCTACAGTTCAACAGTGTCTGCACAAGGAGGGTGCTCTTCCGTTTGAAGACCAAGTGTGATACCCAGATAGATTTGCAGATGCCTTTGGAAAACAGTCCCACAGATTAGGAACTGCTGTTCACTTAATTTGCATACGGGAAAGTGAAGCTTTGAGTGGCTAAATTAAGAATCACAAATTAGGATGAGCTGGTGGAATTTAGTCCTACAGGCATGTTTTGGTGGGCCTGTAAGGATGCTTTAAAAGTTATGAGCAAACAGAAATCAGTACATTTCTAGCAACTCATGACAGTTTTAGAGGCCCTGACATGCTTAGGCTAATGTTCCTGTGTGGCATCAACTCACCAGGGCCATGTAGCAGCTGTCTGTCACACGCCTCCTGTACCCCCAATCCTTATAACTCCCTTTTGGTTTAGACCTGTTTCATCCATTCATGCTATCTGCCTAACCCTTCTGAAAATAGGGAGGGCACATACTTCTATTTAAGAAAATTAAAAAATATGCATTTTATTATGTTTATAATATGTGTATGAGTGTTTTGCCTGCATGTGTGTAAGTGTACCCGTGTCATGGTGCAATGCCCATGGAGGTCAGAAGAGGGTGTCGGATCCTCCTGGAACTAAAGTTACGGGTGGTTGTTAGCAGCCATGTGGGTGCTGGGAATCGAACCCAGGTCCTCTGCAAGAGCAGCCAGTGCTCTTAACTGCTGAGCCATCTCTCCAGCCCAGACTAGCTGTAAACCATTCCCCAAGTTCCCACTGAGGGTTAGCAGTAGACAGAGCTTAGCCTTTGCCATTGAATTGTAGTTCATCTTTGACCAGGGCAGGTGACTTCTCTGATTTCAGTTTTGTTACTTGTCAGATAGTCATAATAAGCTTTTAATTTTTATTTTTTTAATATTATTTTTATTTTATGTGTATGAGTGTATTGCCTGCATGTATGAGTGCACCCGTGTTGTGCAATGCCACAGAGGTCAGAAGAAGAACTTCAGATTCCCCTGGAACTGGAGTTAAGGATGGTTTGTAGCCGCCACGTGGGTGCTGGGAATCGAACCCGGGACCTCTGCAAGAGCAGTCAGTGCTTTTAACCACTGAGCCATCTCTCCAGCCCCATAGTAAGCTTTTTAACCATGCACATAGTTCTAAAAAATTAAAAAGTGTAGAAGGAAGTGCGGCCTGAACAACCAGCGCTTGTGCGCTGCAAATGCGCCAGAAACATCAGGCTGAGGCAAACCTGCGTTCTGCCAAAAGACATAGAGATGGCTGAAGCAAAAATGGTCTGATACAGAGAGCCAATGAGGAACAGACACGACCTAGCAACGGACCAATGGGACACTGGGAGGGGGGATATAAGGGAGCCCCATATCCACAATAAACAAGTCTGCAGCTGCTCACATTGCCTGCTTCTCACCTGACTCCCTGGTGTCTGTGTCATGACTCCCTGCTGACTCTACCCCCACCCGGAGGGCCCCAGGACACCCGCAACAAAAAAGAGCCTCATAAAATCACAGCTAAGATTGTCTTTTATATTAAGTTGGTTAAAAGTTGCTTTAAGCTGGATCTGGTACATGTCTGTAGTCTCAACCACTCATGAGGCCCAGGCAGGAGATCCTTTGAGCACAGGGGTTCAAGGTCAGCCTGGACCCCCATCTAAATGAGAAACAAAAGCTGCTTCAACTGTGCCATTTCCTACCATCAACCCTTTCATTGCGTTATCCTCTGTGTGATAAACTCCACAGGCCTTTGTCTTTCTTCACCAGTCATTTGATTCCAACAACATAGCATCTTCCACTTAGTGTGAAGTAGAATGAAATTTCACTTATTCACTGTTTTTTGGCTCTTCATTTGTTCTTGTTTTGTTTTTGGATACAGGGCCAGGTAGCCTGGCCTAGAACTCACTGTGTAGCTGAGGAGGACTTTGAACTCCTAATCTTCCTGTCTCCACTTCCCAAGTGCTAGGATAATATCCTGGGGATCAAAGTCTGTGCCCCCATGTCTGGCTTCCATTCATTTGTTAAAAATTACATTTACTTTTATTTATTATTTATTTATTTATTATTTATTTAGTGTATGTGTATATGTAGGTCAGAGGATAACTTTTTGGATTGTCTCCTTCCACCATTGTAGGTCCTGGGGATCAAACTCTGATCCCTTCAGCTTGGCAGCAGGGGCATTTACCCTCTGAGCCATCTCGCTGGTCCTCCATTCATTCTTTAATCCTATAAATATTGAGTGCCTCTTTATGTCTAATTTAGGTCCTGAGGATAGCAAAACTCACACGAAAAGAAAATCTCATACTTATTCTCATACTTAAGCCTCTATTTCTGTTTAATTTTTTGTACTTTCTGGTAGTGTTGGAAGTTGAACTCAGCATATATCAAACAAGTACTTTACCACTAAGTTATACTCCCAGTCCCAACCTTCTGTTTCAGGCAGGTCAACATTTTGTCCTTTATATTTTGGATATGCTTGTCTCTTGCTTACACAATTCTTTCTTTCACTGTTGTATTCAATAAATATTCATTGGTTGCCTACTGTGTGTCAGGGCCTGTTTATTAGTCTATGTGTCAGAGTCGTCTGTGTTGCCTAGGATGGTCTCTAACTCACCATCCTGCCTTAACCTTCCAAGTGCTAGGACTGTAAGTGTGTGCCACTACATCCAGTGGTGTTGGTCTTGTACCAAAGCCCTTGCTTCTTTGGAATTTAGGTTCTTGTAGAATAAATAGACATTTTACCAAAAACAAAGCATGTGGTAGGTCTATGAACTAGACCATGGCAGTGTGAGGAGGCTAGAAAGCAACAGTGTGACGGTCATGGTGCCATAGTTTAAGGTAAGTGGTAAGAGACAGCTTTCTGATGTGGTGTTTGAAGAGTCCTCAAGTCTGGAGGAAGGGGCCAGCAAGATATCTGGAGGAATAGTGATCCAGGCACAGGGCAACACAAGTGCATACTTGGCATGTTCAAGGGACAGTGGGACAGATAGCATGCAAAGGGGAGAAATGAGCACAGAAATGTGGGAGGATCCAGGTCCTCAGAGGCATCACAGCCATAGGCATCTTGGCTTTTGGCTTTAGAGTAAGTTGTGTCTCTTCTGGATTTTTACTTCATGTTCCTCTGGATATGGCTATCCCTGTTGGTGATTTTCTCCCTCTAATTCCTATAATGCCCTTTGGCCACATAACTTATTAGGTACTTAACTGATGAAGGTAGTGAGTGCCTGGCTATCTTCTCACAGGACTTCTAGCCTGGCTTCTTGTAGCCTCCTCTGGCTTAGGACTCAGCCATATACCTCTCGATCCTCTATGGTGCTCCGTGCCTTGTTGGTACAAATGTCTTCTGAGGCTCTGGTTTCAGGTGTCAGCAGGAGGAATTTGAAAATGATGCCTAGGAAAGGAGAGGCCTTAGTGATAGATTAGATGTGAAGAATGATGCCATGCTTTTAGTTTGTGGTCCTGGAAGCATTGTTGTAGTGTTGTTATGAACTGAGAAAGGATTGTTAGGCAGGAAGACAGATTGATAACTTCAGTATAGAATTTATGGAGCTAGCAGCATGTGCATATGAAGTTGCCCAGAATAATTTGGGAATGTCAGAATGGGTTGGGAGTATTGGAGGTCCTTGTGACTGCTTGCTGCAGTCATGAACTCGAGCCACCTTGTGCTTAATCTATAGTGCCCAGGAAAGGGGCTGACCTGATGTGTTTTTGTAGGTGTGTTGAGATGGGAGTTTAGTTGGCATGTAACTGTGATGCTCAGTGTGGAAATGACATGGGCTCTGGAGCAAGGTCACATGGGCCTGAATTTCAGTCTACACATCCTCCATGTATGTCTTGATTGAACAAGCCACTCCTTTGAGTCTCCATGTCCTCATCTGGAAAATGAATGGAGAGCAATCTGTGTGGTAAATGAAGGCTGACTGTGGTGGTTTTCTAGGTTTTAATGACTTATTTATAATCAAGCTAATGTACAGCCTGCATTTGAGTCCTTGTATAAGTCAGTTTGGATAATGCATACTGAACTCTGAACATAGTGAGATAAATACTGTGGGAGGATTACATGGGTTACTACAGTGTGCCTGATAGGGTACATACATCAGTTACTACAGTGTGCCTGGTACGGTGTATGCATCAGTTACTATAGTGTGCATGGTGCAGTATATACATCAGTTACTATGGTGTGAGTGGTGGTGTATGTATCAGTTACTATGGTGTGCATGGTGGGTAGTTTCTACCACCTATTTCGGTGATAGATATCCTGAATAATAAATAACAGAACTGTGTAGCATATTGTAGTTGTAGATTTATCCCCTTAAGATGGAATCATTACAGAGACGAATGAAATGCACTCCCTATGGCAATTCTTTTATAGCAATAAAACTAGTGCTACCTGGGCAGGGAGGCCTGTGCCTACAGTTGCAGCTAAGCTGCTCTCCTAGGATGCTGATGCAGAAGAAAGGCTTGAGACAAACCTGGGTAATATAGTGAGACCTTGTTTCCAAAAAAGTACCACATATAGAGAAGCAAATAAAATTTATATTAAAGTTTATTGAGGGCTAAATTCCTGATTAAAATTTTTTGACTTGTTAGCTCTCAAATCTTTTTCTGTCAAATTAGAATTCTTTGGTAGACTTTTGACTTCATTTCTTTTCCTTTTCTTCTCTCCTTTGTTCAGAAAAATCTAAGCATTTCTTGAGAGGGTTTCCCGATTTTGTAGATCTGGCTCTGTTTTTCAGAGCCTGCCTGTGAATGCCTCTGGAACTGGGGCTTTACTTTTTGTGCTGCTTTCGAAGTCGTGGCACTAAGACCCAGAAAACGGCGTGCTCTGTGTGGCTGGAGCTGGGCAGGCTGTGCTTGCGCTGAAGGAAGGGAAGGAAGTCATTAGTGCAGACTGAGCTGTAGAGTTGGGTTCTTGCAGGATTTCCTTCTAGCCTTTCCCCACTAAGATTCTTGGGAATTAAAAAAGAAAAAAAAAAATCTAAACACACAAACCAAGTTTTCCTATTTACAGTGTTCAGGAAAGGTAGGCATTTCGGGAAGAGCATACCCTTTCCCCAAGTTGTCCAAGAAGGAGGAGAAAACAGCGTAAAGAAGCTCTGATTACAGATCTTTGGAATTTTCTTTGCTAAATTTTACAAACGAGAAATACACCCCGAATTTTGGGACTCGCTCCAGCCTGCGCGTGAGGGTTTGGTTGCTTGTCTAATCTTTTTTGAGAAGAGGAGGATTCGCCAAAAGGGACTTGGATGGCAGGAGCCGGGCTGGGTTTCCACGGCAGCTGCGGCTACGGGTCTAGTCTCTGAGGGTCCGCTGCAGGCTCCCGGCTCCCGCAGGCGCCGCTGGGGAAGATGCCCGGCTCTGGCAGGGGTGCGCCGCAGGCTCCCGGGACTTCCTAGCCGGGCGGGGACACTCGGATTGAACCGAAGGCGAAGGACCGGACGCTCGAGGCTCTCCCCCCTGGGAACATGGCAAAGAGCTAGGGGCGGGAAGCAGGCAGCATGACTTGCAGTGGCCGCTGCCCTGCCTCTGCCCCCAGTCCCCAGCCAACATCTTGATGCTGCTCGCCTCGGCTGTACAAATATGATGAAATGGCAGCCCCGGAAGAAGGTGAGTGTCCGCAGCGGGGGCACGGGAGGGGAGTGGGGTGGCCGGACCCGCGAGAGACCAGCCCCGAGGGGCTTGCTTGTCCCTCGTCGCCAACTTCCTGGGCACGCGCGGACCCCGGGGTGACAGCTTGACCAGCGGTGAGGCCACCACATAGGGCCCATGCCCCGCTGCATCCGGAGCCCCCAGGTGGGCGGCGCAGCGCGGTGTCCCCGGGGTCCATGGCCGGTCGCCGGCAGCCGCTTCCCCCGGGCCCCGCTGGGGGGCGGTAGCCCCAACCCAGCGCGCCCGCACAGGTCCCCGCGATGGCCCGGCCTCACTGCGCCCGAGGCAGGCTGCGGCAGGGCGGCTGTCCACGGCTGGGCAGCTGCATGGGCGCGAGCGAACGCCGGCCTTTGTGCAGCGGCGGGTGTCTGTGTGCGGCGAGTGTGCAACGATCGTGGGCAAGGGGGAGGGGGCACTTTGCTTTTTGCAAGATTATTTCCTAATATGGCTCCTTTGTTGAAAACTCCAGGGGGGAAAAAAAAACATGCAGCAGTTCTATCAAAATAAATTGCTATTGGTCCCAGAAATAATGTTTCTAAATGTGGGACCGGTAGCTCGGTCCGGACGTTGAGGGAGAGAGCCTTCAAGTTGCTGGCAGCCGTACCTTTGGCTAGGGTTCCCTTTTGCAAACTTGCCTGACTGCAGCTAACTGTTAGGTGAACCCAGAGGTTCACTGCATAGAGGGACTTCCCCCTCAAAGACCTCGTTTGGCTGTGGTTTTTTATTGACATTCTTCTGAGGGAAAACAGAGAACTGAGCGTGCTGCGCCCCTCCCCAGACAAGACCTGTCTCGGAGCAACTGTCTGGTGTTTTACTTCAACTAGCTAAACGGATTCTTTCTTTGTGCCACGATGCATGATGTCGAGTTTTACATCAGAACTGAAATAGAAATCATGTGTGAAGTACTGGAGAGGATACTGTGCATTTGTTGTACTGCTAGGGAATCCGGCAAACCCTGCTTCCGATAGCCTGCTGAACGCAGAGGTTTTCTTTGATAGTTAATTGATTCGATTTTGTCCCGTGACAGTCTCTCCTATCTCATCTTAAAGCCAGAATGTCTCATGTATTTGCGAGAGTAGAGCTTCTTTCAACGAGATTGGTTTCATTTACTGTGCTTAAGAGACTCATGTATTCCCCACCCCCACCCCCAATAAAAACAGTTAAATGAGGAAAACCCATGGAAGAAACCATATAATTAAGCAATTTAAGTAGATGGCTGCATAGTCCTAAAGTCTTCTATGTCTTCTATATTTGTAAATTGAATCTTTATGAGTAGCTTAAAGATGTCTGCAAACTGTACATGCATAAATGTCTGCTTTTTCTATTTTACCCGATGTGTAGTAACTCATGTGGTTATGTCTGTGAAAACCCCTCTGGGTACTGGTATTGCTTGAACCACGGAAGTATTATTCTTGGCAGTCAGGTGGATTTCTGGACTCTGGAAGATTCTGTTTCAAGTGCTAGGATTCACTCTGCAGTATTTACTCACCCTGTGATACTTAAATTGATATACCAGAAGGTTGTGTTTATTCACTGTATTTATAATCTCAAATCATCGTGTTATAAGGATCCAGATATCATTCTGCAGAGTTCATAGAACATTGAAAAAAGCTGAGCCATCAAATTGTGTATGATTATTTGGTGGAAGCTTGAGAACAATCCTTCTGCATTAGAAACAGAAACTGCTTTGGAAAAGATTCACCATTCAACTCCAGTAGTGTACCCACAAGTCTTTACAAACCTTCATTTTATTTTCTTACTCCTGCCAGAATACTCATATGATCACACCATTGCCATGGTTTCTGGCTGGCTCTGCTAACACATTTGTAGTGGTACAGTCACATGCCATGTGTTTTACCAAACTGTTTCATGAAAACCATTTACACTCCAGATGAAAAGTGATGCTTCACTGATGTGATCTGAACAGACAGAATGCCTAGCAAACCTGTTTGATGGATCTGGGCTTTGGGGCTAGAACTGGTTGATGGCTTGTTGTCATAGGGCCCCGTTGGTCGCTACTAGTTTAGCTTTTCTGAATTCTGGGTTCACTGTAAGAGAGTGACTATAGATTCCAGATTTCTTTCCTTCTAAGTGAACATGCTGCTGGGTTATAAGATTGAAGAGGATCTCTTTCTTTCTCTTTACATTGTTTGTTTGGCAGATTCAATACTTAAGGCAAACTTTATAAATATGTGAGTCTAGAATATTCTATTAGAGTCTGATACCTTTTCAGAGAAACCTTCAAATATGATTCATTAGATTTTGTCCTGCCCCCTGGGGGGAGTATTAGGATCCAGTCTTTCAAGTATAGAGTTAAGTAATTTCCTTAAAAGCAAGATCCATAGGTATATGCTTATTTCCAGATCCATCAAGTTTTATATATTAAATATGGACAGATTTTTCTCTCAATCATACCTCAATTAAGTGTTTAAGTAGGAGTGATGTTCTGAGCAATTATCTTGGTGGTCTGGTTGGAATAGTGGTTCATGCTACCATTCACCGGGTACCTGCTCTCTGCCAGGCCTCTCTAGTTGTCCACATGCATTTGTTTAGTTCCTATCCAGCAAGGAAATGGCATCTTATTTGCATTTTACAGATAAGGAAACTGCGGTTTAGAGGGGTGAGTGATTACCCAAGTGTTGCAGGGTGGCAGGGTTAGAACTAGGATTGAACCCAGCCTTGTTTGTGTCTATGCGTGTGTTCTCTGCCATTACGCTTGGGAACTTTGAGGATGAGAGCCCCTTTATCTGAGATAGATAAAGCTGGGCTGATGCCACCATGGGCAGGCAGAGCTGTGCGCCTCTGCTTCTAGATGCATCACTCAGATGCTCCCAGCATCCCCTTTCCTCTTGAAGGATGTAGAGAACTACCTGTGAATTCTTGGAGCACTTAGAGTCAGTGGCTCTTTAGGCTGATTTCATTTTTTTTATTGACTGGAATCTCTTTTCTTTCTCCCTGTATTTCTGTCTCTTTAGGTATTTATCTGGCCTCTTCATATATTGTTAGCTCTGTACATTCAGGAACTATGTTGTCTTCTTTTTGGTTTCAAGAATAATCTAGTTGCTTAATAAATATTTATTTCACATAAAAGTAAATAACTGCTACTTTCATCAAAGTATTTTTAGATCTCTCTCAGTTGATTCCTAGGCTTGATGGTAGTAGATTATTAAAGAGCACCAGAATATTTTGTCACTGACTTCTAATCTTTATAGACAACATCAGGAAGGGGGCAGCCACTCTCCACAAAATCTCCCTGAGGTCATGATTACAACACATGGTTAAGACACAGTACCAGGCTCAGTAGCAGACCCTCCTTCCAGTATCATGACCTTTTTATTTATTTAACCTAATCGGGCTAGCAAAATATACGGTTCCCTGTTTTTACCATAAGAGGCTATCATGCATCACATTTTTTTTGTCTTGTATTTGCAGAAATGATAGTAATTAAAATGCTCATCTCATAGGAACATGCTTGTTTACAATTCTGAAGAGATTTCTGTTCTTCAAAATCCAAGGATTAGTGTTAGATAACACTGTGTAAATAAGACTGCAGTTGGAACCATCAGGAAAGCAGCTGCTGATTGGATTTTTCATTGCTTATCTAATGTTATGTTGCTGTTCACACATAATAAAAGATTATTAATAGGAATATGTCATACAAGCTACATTAATTATGTAATTTGAGACTTATATATTTATCTTGTTATACTTGTCATGTTAATAAAATGTAAATCTGGCTTTTTATTTATTTGTTTGTTTTATTTAAGCACACAAAGTAATGGACTTTGTTGTGACATTTTCATACATATTGTATCATTTCCTATTTGGTTCCTCCATTGCCCTGCCCCAGCATCTGGCTTCTTAAATGACCTCTCTGCTGGAGCTTCATTGAAAAGGCTTCTTTGGAAGCTCACTTGAAGGATCACGTCCTGGTAATTTGTGTCTTGCCACAGCCTATTGCTTTTATGAAAGAAAGCATTTCAGATCCCCAAATGTTCTCTGTGATGAAGTATTTTGTTTCTGGATTATAAGGCTAAGTCTCAAATTTTAATACAACTATACTCTAGTACTTAGCATTTAGTGTTTATTACCTAGTCACTTCTGAATTCTACACAGTTGATACTACTCATCTTGGGCCATGGCTTTGTTTAGTGTTGTAAAATCAGACCTAAAATAACCATTGTAAGGATGGAACTAATGCAAATACAATACTCATGGATAGAAATCTCAAAATAAAATATGATAAACCATTGTGGGTAAAAGTACCGACATGGGCACGTCTTAGACATTTCATGTAGCAGTCTTTCTACAGACATGTTCAGCACACCATTCCCAGGTCCCTGCAACCTGGAGACCCTCCTTTTGATGCTGGCAGCTCCCTTGACTCATGTCCTTGGGCGAGTCATTTAATCTTTCACATCTGACTCCCCACTGTTAGAGTTTAGCGCCTCATTATCACTTGCTGGATCTATTGCAAATGATATCCTAATGATTTTTCTTTTTCTGTCCTCTTTTTCCTCTGGTTTCTCATTCCTTTCAAGCAATTGCTGAAAAGACACAGGTATGCTCATGTTACTGACCTTGTTCAAGCCTTGCTCTCTCTCCTTGGTTGGCTGAGGCCAGCTGTGGGCTGCTAGTACATACCCTGGGCTGTTGAAGGTTTGTCACTTGCTCTTTCTTGCTCAGAGTCTAGAGGGGTTCTTAGTGGTGCCCCTCCCTGCTCACATAAGGCATTTGCTTACCTTTAGTGTATTATGGCCTACTGTAGCTTCTACCACAAAAGGTCTGTCTTATGCAATTAAATTTATTCAAAAGAAGAAAATGGAGAAAAAAAGCTGTAGGACGGGTCATACAGGGATAAGGAGATGGGCTCAGAAGCTAGACTGTAGAATGAGAATCCCGGCACAGCATCATGGTAGCTCTGTGGCCAGGGTACTTAACTTTAAGAGGTCTTGTCG